TGGGGAAATCCCAATTCAAGGTAACATGTTAATGTTACAAATCTTGGTAAATTACTAGGGAAAATCCCGACTTGAGATAACATGTCCATGTTGTCAACCATAGGAAATTTTTTGGGGAAGATATCCACTGATGTGTTTTATCGAAAAGATCCCAACTTAAGATAACATGTCAATGTTATAAACCTTCGATTCAAAAATTAGGATCTTAACTTATGCTCAGAAATAAGAGGGATTCCAAGTCACTACAACATGAAATGATCCCCTTATTCACATCCCATAGTTAGATAGCGTGCATCCAAGCGAGATGTAGAAACCTTAACTCATATGAAAGAGGTAATTAACTCTTTAAAACTTAGAGGGGATTAAGTACCCTTATTTGTAGGAGAAATGATTTGTCTCTATACGTAGTTACAAGGACACTTGCGTACTGCAATCACTAAGAGTCGTAGAATATTGTAGCTATTGGGACTCTTAAGTTCCAGGATCCTTAAATATCAAGATCCTTGGATCTTCGGGTATCGGGATCCTTATGTGTCAAGATCCTTGTGTTCCTATGCATAGCAAGCATTAGCTTTAATTAAGCCCCTCCGATGCTTAAGTAGTACTGGTTTTTAGGAGAGTAAATAATAATAATAATGAAAATAAAGGGTAAAAGGTAAAGAGTATGTGTACCTTGAGTTTGTTGGGAAATGACTAATCTCACTTGCATGAAATAAGATGTAAGACGTATAGGTTTCCAGGATTTTTGCAAGACATTTCCATCGAGGGTGGCTAGCCAATATGCCCCCTTTCCTACTTCAGCATCTATGATATACGATCCTTCCCATTTAGGTACCAATTTACCTTAACTAGGATCCTTGGTATTTTGGAATGCTTTTCTTTAGAGCAAGTCTCCTATCTGGAATCTTCTTAATTATATATTCTTGTTGTATGCTTTGGTGATCCTTTGTTGATTGGTAGTGATGTGGATATTGGCAAGATCCCTGAGTTCATCAATAGTATCAAGATCCTAGTCTAGGATCCTATCAATGTTTTCAAGATCCTAAGATAGATATCTTGCCATCAGGATCACTACTTTAGTGGGGATCATCGCTTCTACTCCGAACACCGAAGAGTATGGAGCTTGGCATGTGGTCCTATCTGCCCATAGGACGAAAGGAATTTTTCTAACCATCTTCTTTTCTTTTCATCTAGCCTTTCTTCAAGTTATTGACTATGATTTTGTTTCTATATTCTCCTTCACCGTTGGCTTGAGGGTGAACAGGGGTGGACATTATCATTTTGATTCCCCAGCTTGTGCAAAAGTCCCTAGTCCTCTTGCTTATGAATTGGGATCCATTAATACATATAATTTCGGCAAGGATCCCGAACCTGGTCAGGATATTACGTTTGATGAACGACACCACCTACTTATCTCTTACATGAAAAAAAGCCTCAGTCTCGATCCACTTCGAGAAATAGTCTTTCATTACCAGCATGAAGACTTTTCCTCCTCGTGGCTTAGGTAATTTTCCTACTATATCCATCCCCCACTTCATAAATGGCCAAGGGGAGATGATAGGATGTAAAGGTTCTGCTGGTCGGTGTAGGAAGTTTCTTTGTCTTTGACAAGCATCATATCTTTGAGCATAGAAGAAGGAATATTTCTTCAAGGTTGGCCAGTAGTATCCCGTCCACAACACCTTAGAGCACAAGGATCTGCCCCCGTATGGTTACCACAATCTCCTTCATGTTAGTCTTTTAGGACTTCCACATCCTCGTGATCTTCTATGAATCTAAGGTATGTACCTGCCATAGATTTCTTGTATAGATTACCTTGGATCATCACAAAATATGAGACCCTCATTTTGAATGACTTGTCACTTTTTTCTTCCTTCGGGATGGTACCATTTTGGATATATTCTACAATGGGTTGAATCCAGGATCATGATGATGGGGAAGGATCCTTGATGCTAGGATCCTGATAAAGAAGCTGAGGATCGGGATCTTCGATTGTAGCATCATTGTTTGTTACCTCGTCATCTTTGGGATCCTTCAGTATTTTGGCAGGATCCTCGTTTGCTAGGATCATCACATGGATTATCGGGATCCTGGTTTCTGGTGGGATCCTAAGAGAAGATCCTAGATTGGCTAAAGCATCCGCTTCAACATTGTCTTCTCTAGGAACTTGGTTTAGGCTGAATGCTTCGAATTCAAAGGGTAAGTTTTTGAGAATCTTGAGGTATAGTGCTAGTCTTTCTCCTTTTACTACATAGGATCCAATAAAATGGTTAGTTATTAATAAGAAGTCGACATATAACTGAATATTATTGATCTGAAGATCCTTGGCTAGTTGTAGTCCCATGATTAGTGCCTCGTATTCAACCTCGTTATTAGTTACATCGAACTCACAACTGACTGCCTGGGGTACGATGTCCCCCTGTGGCGACTTTCGTATGATCCCTAATCCAGATCCTCTTTGGTTTGATGATCCATCTGTGAATAGTGTCCATCTTCATATGTTTTCTTCTTCTAGGAATCGTGTAGTTTCTATATCTACATCAACTTGTAGATAATTATTGAAGTCAGCCACAAAGTCCTCTACTGCTTGGGATTTTATCGCGGATCGTGGCTCATACTTGATGTTCTATGTTCTTAGCTTCACGGACCACTTTTCCCTCCTTCTTGACATTTATGGCATTCTTATAACTGTTGGATAAGGTGTCTAAGTCCATAACTTATTTGGTATATACTTTACCCGACCCGGCATGGTCCATTTGGGTTGCACTTCACCCGAACTATTTATATGGATAACGTTATGAGAAGAGTATATTTGCGGCCTACTAATATATTATAAGTTATAATATATTAATATGAAATTGTATTATTTAATTAGTATTGATCTTAAATTAATTATGAATAAATTTAGTGATCATAAGGTGACTAATTAAATAATGGGCTATTGTACTTATATAGCGTGGGCTGACACTCATAAGGAAATGGGCTAAGCTTGAATGGGAGTCCATGGATGATCCATGGAGCTTTTAACCCATGGATCCTTGGAATAGGAAAAGACATGGGTTATTAGGGTTTGCATGGTTTATAACCCTAATCATCTACACTATATAAAGAGGCTTATGGTGTTGGAGAAGACACTATGTGTGTGTGCATAAGAGTGGCCGAATTTCTAGAGTGATTGGATACTCTCTCATAAGTTTTCCAAGTTTGTGGTGATTTGTGATTTCCATTTGAGGCATTCACATTATTGGTGCTTGGCTCTCAAATTCCCAAGGAATCAACTCACTAACAAAAGGTATGTAATTCTTCTAGTATCTTTTATGTTTAAAAGTACCCCATGTATGCTAGATAGGTTATGAACCTTGGAAAATTATTTTGCATGTATTTTAAACAAACATAGATCCAAGGTTTCTAGGGTTGCATGAACACCTTAGGAGTGTTAGTTTGCTCAAAACCCAACATTGGTATCAGAGCCTAGGCTTGTTTGTTTGATACTTGATGCAAAGTTGTTGAAAAACTCAAGTCTTCTGCATTCTGCAGCATGAACTCGCCGAGTCCATGGGGGGACTCGCCGAGTCCATGAGTAAATTCATCCTACTCGTCGAGTAGGTTCGTGCACTCGACGAGTAGAAGCCTCAGAATGCAGATTTTCGAGTTTTGCTGCTGGAGATGGACTAGAAACATTACCCTAAACTGTTTTGGTGTTATAAAACCTGTTTTAGATGGTGTAATGTTTATGCTAAACCATTTACAATGGCTTATATCAAAATTGCATAATAATACGTGTTCATATGTTCTTGGAATTTTTGATATGATGTTCATGTTCTTATGAATTATTGTTAGATCATAGGAATTATTTGCTAAATTGTTTATTGATAATTCTTGATCATTTATGTGTTTTAATGGAGTCCATAATTTGTCCTCAAGTTATGGATTTCCAAAGGTCACTTTCATTTATGCACACTTAAAACACATAAGTTACATGAAAATGAAGAGTCTTCATTTCATGAACCTTTAATTCATAAGTTATGAAATGAAAAGTTTTGAATAGTTTCAAAACTTGTCCTCAAGTTTTGGAATTTGTAAAGTTACACACACTTTAATATACTTTAATTCCAAACCCTTAGAGTTTTAAAAGTTATAATTCAACCCTTATACTATTTATAATATTAATGGTTAATTATTATATATATGTATAAGATTAAGTAGTTTTACCGTTAGTAGGCCTCATTCACGAATCCGGTCTATAAGGGGGGTATAAGGTTGTTGCCTATAAAATGGCAACTTAATGGGTGTCCACTCTCACCCACCGCTTACTTGATCGGTGGAGGGTCGTTAGCCGAACGGGTAGGACAATGACTTTAAATTCTCATTAAAAGTATAATGAATATTATAAAGTAACTAAACCTTTAATAAATTCCCAATCTTAGTTACTTTAGGAAAATGTGAATATGGTGCTAACCCATGAAATTCACACTTTGTACCTTACCAAGTCGTTGGTGGAGCGTGTGTGGTTAACCGACACACTAACTTGGACTAGTAAGGATCACGAAGGGTGACTTAAAGTTTATCATAGATCGGTGGAGCGTGTGTGGTTAACCGGCACATTGATTAGGTGATAATATTAAGGGTACCAAGTAAATTTGCATGGTTATTCACACCTTGTTTTGTGATCCTCGGCATCCCAGTCACAAAACTTGAAGGGCACAATCGAGATTGAAACATGCCATTGAAAAGTTCAATGAATCTCAAAATATTCTAGGAATTTCAAAACCAATTAAACCTAATAATTCATTTCGTTTCATGGTGGAAATTGGTGAATCGTCATTCGCCTACCTTCAAATATGTTATAGCTTAGATTACGGCATCCCTCTTCTAAGTTATAATATATTGTGTTGGATCCTAGCCTTAATATTACATTTGGGTGTATTATTAAGGATTCGATATATCTAATCTAAACTTGTTTTCTTCTTTTTAGATGTCTTCCAACAACAATGCTTCGGCTCTAACCCTACTGGCTCTTTTTCCCTCATGAACCTTTGTGGGAGGGTCATCTTTGATGGTTCCAACTTCATGGATTGGATCCGGAACATCAGGATGGTCACTCGTTACTAGGACAAGGAATATGTCCTCAATAAGGAGCTAAAGGAGCTTGATGAGTCCACTGCTACTCCTGAGGAGGTCGCTGAGTATCAGGCACATGAAAGAGATGCCACCAAGGTGGCATGCATCATGATGGCCACCATGACAGCTGAACTCCAAAAGTCCTATGAGGACTATTACCCTTTTGAGATGCATCAGGATCTGATGGAAAGGTACCATCAGAGTGCTCGTCAAGAGCGGTATGAAATAATCTCCTCCATGATCTCTACCCGTATGAAGGTTAGCGAACCAATCACGAGCCACATGCAGAAAATGTAAAGGTATGTGGACCGTCTAATGAAACTGAATGTGAACTTCCCTGAGGAGTTGGCAATTGATATCATTTTGCACTCCTTGCCCTCGTGTTATGATGAATTTCGTATGACATACCACATGAAGAAGGAGGAAGTCACACTCAGTAAGCTTCAAGGACTTCTGAAGACTGCCGAAAGTGGTCTTAAGAGTAAGTCGGTTACTACTCCTACTCCTATTACTACCCCTGTTTTGGCTATCGGGAAAGGCAAAGGGAAGAAGAGGAAGCACCCTTCGAAGGGTACCAAGGGAAAGTCCCTTGAAGGCTCCTCATCTGGAACCAAAGGTGGTTCTATCACTCCTTCTGCCATCCCTAAGGATGCTGAATGCTTCTACTGTCAAAATAAGGGGCACCGGAAGCGAAACTGCCCAAAGTACTTGTAGGATGTCAAGGATGGGAAAGTGAAACCATCCCATGCAGGTATTCACACTATATTGTCTAATAACTCACCATATTATAATTCTTGGGTTCTTGATACAGGTTGTGGTATTCACATCTGTTGTGACTTGCAGGGTCTAAGAAGAAGTGAGGATGTGGAGCACGGAAAGATAAACTTAATCATGGGGAACAAGAAGGTTGCACCTGTTGCCAAGATTGGAGTTTATACTTTGTTGCTAGATAGTGGGTTAAAGTTAGATTTGAATAAATGTGTGTACTCGTCTGAAATGGCAAGGAATATTATTTCCTTTCATGCTTTGTACAAACAAGGTTTTACCTTTTCTTTTGATAATGAAATTGGTAGTATTAATGCTTTCTTTAATAATGTTCTTTATTTTAAAGCATTACCTTGTGATGGTGTGTATGAAGCTATATCGGTTGTAGATAATTTAGGAAATAATGTATTATGTATTGATTCTTCTACTAGCTTGGATAAAGCATCTTTGTGGCACTGTCGTCTTGGACATGTAAGCAAGAAACACATAGGCCAGCTCCAAAAGGATGGAGTCTTGGAGTCGTTCGGCCTCAAGTCGGATGATAGTTGTGAGTCTTGTCTATGTGGAAAAATGACAAAATCACCCTTCACTGGTACTTGTGCAAGGGGTGAGGGTTTGTTGGACCTTATACATACTGATGTATGTAGACCAGTCAAAACCGCCACAAGGGATGCTAATCGCTATTATGTTACTTTTATTGATGATTTTAGTAGATATGGTTATGTCTACTTAATCAAACATAACTCAGAAACTTTTGAAAGGTTTAAAGAGTTTAAACAGGAAGTAGAAAATCAATTGGGCAGGAACATTAAGATGCTTCGATCCGATTGAGGTGGTGAGTATCTTAGTACTGAGTTCCTCGACTATCTTAAGGAGTGTGGGATTGTCTCACAGTTGACACCTCCCAGGACACCACAGCTGAATGGTGTAGCTGAGAGGCGTAATCGAACTTTGTTGGACATGGTTCGCTCTATGATGAGTCGAGCTTCGCTATCAATCTCTTTTTGGGGGTATCCCTTAGAGACTGTCGCCCACATCCTTAATCTAGTCCCTACAAAGAAGGTTGCCAAAAGACCTCATGAAATGTGGACTAGGAAAGTTCCCAATTTGGACCATATCAAGATTTGGGGTTGCGAGGCTTTCGTGAGGCGCGAGACACATGACAAGCTCGAACCTCGAAGTGAAAGGTGTATTTTCATCGGCTACCCACAAAAATCCTTTGGGTACCTCTTCTACAGACCCAGTGAGAATGTGGTCTTTGTGGATAGGAGAGGGGTCTTTCGAGAGAGAGAATTTATAAACCAAGGAGATAGTGGGAGGCAAATTGACCTTGAAGAAATTCAAGACTCAATTGGTGAAGGAACCTCAGACACTAGCAATCAACTTGAGGAGGAAATTCCTGTTGATCCAGCTGACGGGTCTATACTTCCGAGGCGTTCCACAAGGGTTAGGAACACACCTGAGTTTTATTATGGATTTCATATTACTACGGAAGGTGATACATTTATTAGTGACAGTACACTGGCAAATCTGGATGAAACTAACAGTGTTAAGGAAGCCATGGCAGGCCCAGAGTCTGCTAAATGGAAGGAGGCTATGGACAGCGAGATACAGTCCATGTATGACAATCAAGTTTGGAACTTGGTTGAAAATGTACCAGGCCGTAAGACAGTCGGGTGCAAATGGATCTTCAAGAAGAAGACCGACATGGATGGGAAGGTGCACACTTATAAGGCTCGACTGGTTGCGAAGCGTTTTACTCAGACTCAGGGTATTGATTATGATGAAACCTTTTCACTAGTAGCAAAGATTAAGTCTATTAGGGTTATGCTAGCCATTGCTGCATCTCATGATTATGGAATATGGAAAATGGATGTCAAAACCGCTTTCCTTAACGGAAAGTTGGCTGAGGATGTTTACATGAATCAGCCAGAAGGTTTTGTCAGTGCAGAGTACCCCAATAGAGTGTGCAAGCTTGAGAAATCCATTTATGGATTGAAACAAGCATCTCGAAGTTGGAATCTTTGTTTCGATGAGAAGGTCAAAGAGTTTGGTTTCTGAAGAAGTGAAGATGAGTCCTGCGTGTATGTCAGAGCTAATGGGAGTATAGTTAGCTTTTTGGTACTGTATGTGGATGACATACTACTCATAGGAAATGACATCCCAACCTTGCAGAAGGTTAAGTCCTGGCTTGGGAAGTGCTTTGCTATGAAGGACCTTGGAGAAGCTGCCTATATCCTAGGGATAAGGATATTAAGAGAAAGGAGTAAAAGACTAATTGGACTTAGTCAGAGTATCTACTTGGATAAGGTGTTGAAAAGGTTCAACATGCAAAATTCCAAGAAAGGAGAATTACCGATCCAAAGCAATGTCAAACTGAGCAAGGCTCAGAGCCCGAGTATAGAAGATGGGATAGCTGAGATGAGTCGATTACCTTATGCTTCCGCTGTTGGTTCGATCATGTATGCTATGACTTGTACCCGTCCTGATGTGGCCTTCGCTTTGATCATGGTCAGCAGATATCAGGGGAACCCTGGCAAGGCTCATTGGACTGCGGTAAAGAATATTCTTAAGTACATGCGGAGGACTAAGGATTGGATCCTTACCCTTGGTGGGAGTGATGACTTGAGAGTGGTAGGGTATAGTGATGCTAGCTTTCAGACTGATAGGGATAACTTCCGCTCTCAGTCGGGCTGGGTCTTTACCCAAAATGGAGGGGCAATCACTTGGAAGAGTTCCAAACAGGAGATTGTAGCTGATTCGACTTGTGAATCAGAGTACATAGCAGCGAGTGAAGCGGAAAAGGAGGCGATATGGCTGAGGAACTTCATCGGAGACCTTGGAGTTGTACCAGCTATTAAGGAGCCTATGGAGATTTTCTGTGACAGCAATAGTGCGGTTGCCTTAGCCAAGGAACCGAGAGATCATGGCAGATCCCGACACATTGACAGAAAATATCGCTTCATAAGACACAAGATAGAAGAGGGACTCCTCGTGGCAAAGAGGGTATCGTCAGATGAGAACCCGGCGGATCCCCTTACGAAGGGACTGACGAGGGTCAAGCATTTGCAACATACGAGACGCATCGGGCTGAGGGACGATATTAGTTTTACAGATTAGATAGTTATTACTGAAACTTGTAAAATGTAATCAGCGTTTGATGATGAATAAAAGTTGTGATTTATTCATGAGTAAGGTGTTGCTATCATTGTCAATTATTCACTATTGTTTCAGCATTGCATGTTTTGACTTCCAGAATAATAAGTTTATTCAAACTCTCCACAGTCGGTCATACGTCGGAAGTAGGTATGAATCAAGACTGCCATGAATTGGGATTGTAGATGACTAAAAGTGTTTAGCCATAGCAATGGTTGCTACAACATTCATGAGTACTCATAAGTTATGAGTATTGGAATAAACCCACGCTCACTTGTATCACTTCATGGAATTTATCTCAAGTGATCGTGAGACGGTAATTTCATATAAGTCTTCAAACCTAGAGATATGAGTTGTTACCTATGAGTTGGTTGTGCATTGATTGGACGTAAACGCATCAGTAACTTGATGTTATAAAACGTGCCTTTGTGTGCAATTCAATAAGTAGTAGAACAAGCATATGAGTCGAAGTTTATCTGTTCCTTCTAGAAATAGAAGCGATATCTGGGCCCCTCGATGATTTTGTTTTGACCTATGTACCGGGCCCGGTCAGAACTAAATTGATGTGTTCGATTAAGTTCTTTGTCAAACAAATCGGAAATCAGGAAACAAACTGCTAGACAATTACTAAAACATTGTTCCATGTATTTGTCCGGCTGCTATCATGAGAGCATAGGATTATGTGATCACTTATCTAAAATGGCGCTTCATAGTTCAACAGAGTTTTCGAGAGCTACGATTGTCGGTTGGTTCCTGAAGCTATATAGGCAAATATAGTTATCAGACTTATCCAAGTGGGAGACTGTTGGATAAGGTGTCTAAGTCCATAACTTATTTGGTATATACTTGACCCGACCCGGCATGGTCCATTTGGGTTGCACTTCACCCGAACTATTTATATGGATAACATTATGAGAAGAGTATATTTGCGGCCTACTAATATATTATAAGTTATAATATATTAATATGAAATTGTATTATTTAATTAGTATTGATCTTAAATTAATTATGAATTAATTTAGTGATCATAAGGTGACTAATTAAATAATGGGCTATTGTACTTATATAGTGTGGGCTGACACTCATAAGGAAATGGGCTAAGCTTGAATGGGAGTCCATGGATGATCCATGGATCTTTTAACCCATGGATCCTTGGAATAGGAAAAGACATGGGTTATTAGGGTTTGCATGGTTCATAACCCTAATCATCTACACTATATAAAGAGGCTTATGGTGCTTGAGAAGACACTATGTGTGTGTGCATAAGAGTGGCCGAATTTCTAGAGTGATTGGATACTCTCTCATAAGTTTTCCAAGTTTGTGGTGATTTGTGATTTCCATTTGCGGCATTCACATTATTGGTGCTTGGCTCTCAAACTCCCAAGGAATCAACTCACTAACAAAAGGTATGTAATTCTTCTAGTATCTTTTATGTTTAAAAGTACCCCATGTATGCTAGATAGGTTATGAACCTTGGAAAATTATTTTGCATGTATTTTAGACAAACATAGATCCAAGGTTTCTAGGGTTGCATGAACACCTTAGGAGTGTTAGTTTGCTCAAAACCCAACAGTAACATTCTTCATATGATAGTTAGTTCTTACATATATATGATGTGTTTCAAAGTAGTGTCTTAATTTTGTGGAAGTAGTTACTAGTGCAAGTATAGGTTTTTTAAGGACCTGGTCTCAGGATCCAAGAGACGTTTAATTACAAAGTAGATGTGATGTTGGTCCCCGTTAAGATCCTTAGCTAAGATTGCGCTCACCACATTTGAGGATACTGAAAGGTAGAGAAGAAGTGGTTCCCCATCATATGGTTTTACCAATAGGGGTGTTGAACATAGGTATCTTTCAAGTTCCTAGAAAGCATCTTCGTGCTCCTTAGTACACTCGAACCTTTTAGTTTTATTAAAGATGTCGTAGAAAGGTTTACATCTTTCCGAGGATCTTGAGATGAATCTGTTAAAGGCTGCCACTTCCTGTTAGTCTTTCAATATCCTTTGTCGAGGATGGGGATCTTAGATCAATGATTGCATTGATTTGCTCATGACTTTCTTTAATTCCTCTTTTGGTCACCATGTAACCGAGGAACTTGCCTGATCTAATTCCAAAGTGCCATTTGGAGGGGTTCTCCTTCAAGTTATACTCATCTACTATGTTGAAGGCTTCTTCAAGATCCTGGAGATGGTCTTAAGCTTTCTTCGACTTGACCACCATGTCATAAGTGTAGACTTTCATGGTGTCCCCCAGTTTTTCTTTGAACATCTTGTTGACTAGCCTTTGATATGTTTATGACATCCCTAATTTTCTCGGCCAGAAAAGACCGACTTGTTTATGCTTTGTTTTATAAATCAGAGTAATCTTTTAAAGAAAACGGTTGCGGAATTTGTTCCCAAATAAGATATGATAAAAAAATTTATCAAAACATTTCTCAAAGAGAATGTACTTTTCATTAAAGAATAAAATCTCGGGATGTCATGTTACGATACAGACCAAAAGCATAAACAGTACCATATAGGCCTTACAACATTTATTTATATCTAATGGCCTATAATCCAAAATCTCTCGTCAAGTCCACCAACTTATACTCTTGTGCCATTACCTGTAATGCAAAGAAAACTGAGTGGGTCAGGCTTGGGAGCCTGGTGAGCATATACGGTTTTCAACACACAATAATATAATTTTTATATTTAATCATCAAACAAACAAGCCAATTACCCATCCCCATTATCTTCTTTATTTCTTAAGTTCTTACCTTAAGAATCCACTATCATTCATTCGTTCGTTCCTAAGGATTGACCTAAGGAATTGGCACAAAGTCCATTGCTGCCCGAGGTTCATCTACGCAGTACTAAATCCATAGCTACCAAGGTTCATCCATACAGTACTAAATCCATAGCTACCAAGGTTCATCTATACGGTACTAAATCCATAGCTACCAAGGTTCATCTATACGGTACTAAATCCATAGCTAGCAAGGTTCATCCATACAGTACTAAATCCATAGCTACCAAGGTTCATCTATACGGTACTAAATCCATAGCTACCAAGGTTCATTTATACGGTACTAAATCCATAGCTACCAAGTTTCATCTATACGGTACTAAATCCATAGCTACCAAGGTTCATCTATACGGTACTAAATCCATACCAACCAACGTTTTTAGAGTACACCGATGAACACATCGTTCACAACACCTACAAGTTGCGAGCTTGCTAGTGTTCCACAGGACTGTCTAGAATAGTCCGTGGTTGTCATCCCTACTCTGCTGAATAACGGGGATCATCGTTTGGGTAACGGTTTCACTCATTTTTCACCTGTCACCCTCATCTCATGATCTATATCATCTTTTGTCTCATCCTCAAACAAATCTTTCATCACTCACCAACTATTTCATCTACCCATGTTCTACCCAACATATTTGTAGATATAAATTACGTATATAGTTTGAATCATATACAAACCTGTATAAAACATTCATGCAACATCCATCTCAAATATATATATATATTATATATATTATATATATATATATATATATATATATATATATATATATATTATATATATATAAACACATAACACGTATTAACACGTATTTTATAGAAAATACTTCATATCTATGTGTTAGAAGAAAGTAACTATACACTCACTTGATAAGACAATGATCGGACAACACCTCGTCTCTTAAAATAAACTTTTCTGATAAAATCGGGATGTTTTTCTTTAAAACCGGGCTTCTCGCGGGCAGAATTTCGGCTCGGAAACTTTACTTCTCGGGATCTTCGGGACTTCGGAACTTGCTTCGGGGCTCGGGAATGATACCGGGGCTTCGGGGTAAAAGTCGCACGCAAAACGATGCAAAACGGGAGAGAGAGAAGAGAATTTGAGCAAAAGGATCGGCTGCCCTCGCATGCCCTTTTATAGAGGCTGAAGCCTCGCATTACGCTGGCCGTAATGCTTCGGTACGCGGGGCGTAATGCTTCGGAAACATCATCGCTTACGTCATCGGAGCACTCGAGTCCGAGGCGGTTCATGCACCGAAGTACGCTGGGCGTACTCAAAGGTTACGTGGGGCGTACCCTTCGGATAAGCTTTGGTATGTGTGCCACGATCTTCAAAAATTCATAACTTTCGTATACGAGCTCCGTTTTCGACGTTCTTTATATCCACGTGTAGGTGAGACTATGCCCTACAACTTTTATTTAGACTCCGTTGGCTAATTTTAATTTATTTTTTTATTATATTATTTTTAGTAGGCCGGGACAGGAAAACTTCGTTATAAAATCATAACTTCTTCATCTGACGTCCGTTTCCGTCTGTCTTTTTACCGCTGGACTACTAACGATGAGATCTTGGATTCTCGTTTAGATTGTTTCGGCCAAATATCACTCGATCTCAATTTCGAGATTTGGGCTGCATACCGCTAAGTCGAAACTTAGAAAAATCATAACTTCCTCATACGAAGTCAGATTTAGACGTTCTTTTTATGCACGCTCTCGGTTTAACGTATTCTACGACTTTCGTTTAGATCGCTAAGGCTAAATATGGCTCTAACGTAAATTCACTATTTACGTCGCGCTGTGTCGTGCCGGTTCTGTCGCGAAACTTCGACAGGTCATAACTTCTCCGTTATAACTCGGATTTCGGCATTCTTTATATTTTCGGAAACCTTGTGACATATACCTCAACTTGGTTAAGATTATTCATTCTAAATAAACTTCCATCAAAAAGTCATTTTTTGATGCTTATCGTCTCTAAATTGACTAGCCCGGATCTACGGGCGTTACAATTATCTCCCCCTTAGGATGATTACGTCCCGGAATCATCAACGAAATAGGGCTTGTTTAATGATTCCATACGTTATCCTTCCATCCTAAGTAATAACCGTAACTTCTATATTTCCTCGAAAGATTATCTAACTCTAGGGCTTCCTGACTACAGACGATGCTCAATCTTGC